TGAGAATTGTAGTTGCCCTCCATTGATAAAGCTTTTGTTGGCACCATAAATTGGTTTTGCTTCACACTATCTTGATCAAGAGTGTGTGAAGCTTTTGAGAATTGTGGTTGAACTCCTTTGATGAAGCTTTTGTTAGCACCATAAACTTGTTTTGCTTCATACTGTCTTGATCAAGAGTGTGTGAAGCTTTTGAGAATTGTGGTTGCCCTTCATTGATAAAGCTCTTATTGGCACCATAAATTGGTTTTGCTTCAAACTGTCTTGATCAAGAGTGTGTGAAGCTTTTGAGAATTGTGGTTGAACTCCTTTGATGAAGCTCTTGTTGGCACCATAAATTGGTTTTGCTTCACACTGTCTTGATCAAGAGTGTGTGAAGCTTTTGAGAATTGTGGTTGCCCTCCATTGATGAAGCTCTTACTGGCAACATAAATTGGTTTTGCTTCACACTGTCTTGATCAAGAGTGTGTGAAGCTTTTGAGAATTGTGGTTGCCCTCTATTGATGAAGCTCTTGTTGGCATCATAAATTGGTTTTGCTTCACACTGTCTTGATCAAGAATGTGTGAAGCTTTTGAGAATTATGGTTGAACTCATTTGATGAAGCTCTTGTTGGCACCATAAATTGGTTTTGCTTCACACTGTCTTGATCAAGAGTGTGTGAAGCTTTCTACGAGATGTAGTGTTTGCATTGTTACAGAAGGGAAATGTTTGAAGCAGATGCAAGATGGCTGAATAGCTTGATCTTTGTATGCCATGCACTGAAGTTGTTGTTGGCTTGCAATAAGACTTTGTTGGTGACTATAACTCTTGTTAGGCATAAGTGCTCCCCTAGTTGAGTTGTCAAGCTTGAGGGTTTTTGATTATTTGTGAATGCTAAGAGTTCACATGTACAAGTTGTACCACTCGTCTTCTGGTAGGTGGAATGAATGGTGAGTTACTTTCATCACTTGGTTGATGGTACGAAGGTGAGTTCCTTCTTCCCCTGGTTGGTGGCATCAATGGCAAGTTGCCAAATGATATTAGAGTACGGGTTGTACATTTCATCACCTTGTTGGTGGCATGAAGATGAGTTCATTCTTCACCTGGTTGGTGGCATGAGTGGCAAGTTGCCAAATGATATTAGAGTACGAGTTGTACATTTCATCACCTGGTTGGTGGCATGAAGGAGAGTATGGGTTGTACATTTCATCACCTGGTTGGTGGCATGAATGGCAAGTTGCCAAAGGATATTAGAGTACGGGTTGTACATTTCATCACCTGGTTGGTGGCATGAAGGAGAATACGGGTTGTACATTTCATCACCTCGTTGGTGGCATGAAGATAAGTTCCTTCTTCACCTGATTGGTGGCATGAGTAGCAAGTTGTCAAATGATATTAGAGTACGGGTTGTACATTTCATCACCTGGTTGGTGGCGTGAAGGAGAGTACGGGTTGTACATTTCATCACCTGGTTGGTGGCATGAATGGCAAGTTGCTAAATGATATTAGAGTACAAGTTGTACATTTCATCACCTGGTTGGTGGCATGAAGGAGAGTACGAGTTGTACATTTCATCACCTAGTTGGTGGCATGAAGATGAGTTCATTCTTCACCTGGTTGGTAGCATAAGTGGCAAGTTGTCAAATGATATTAGAGTACGGGTTGTACATTTCATCACCTGGTTGGTGGCATGAAGGAGAGTACGGGTTGTACATTTCATCACCTGGTTGGTGGCATGAAGATGAGTTCCTTCTTCACCTGGTTGGTGGCATGAGTGGCAAGTTGCCAAATGATATTAGAGAACAGGTTATACATTTCATCATCTGGTTGGTGGCATGAGTGGCAAGTTGCCAAATGATATTAGAGAACGGGTTATACATTTCATCTTTATACATTAAGGTTGCACGATACCACCGGAGAAGATTATCAGAAGGGAAATCGAGCGGTCGAGCAAGTGTTCAACTACATTAAGTGCCCTGAAAGCTTCAGCAAACATGATATTGACCGAAGCCCCTGTGTCTACCAAGATTCGTCGTACTTCAAAGTTGGCTATGTGAGCTTCCACGATCAATGGGTCGTTGTGAGGGTAAATGATACCTCTTTCTTCCTCAGTGTAGAAACATATTAGATCCTAGTTAGGCTTTTGATACTTACCTCCCCTGATGTCTTCCACGTGAAACACTTGGTGGCTAGACCTTAAAGCTCGTTCATTATTTTTCATGGCCCTGTTGGAAGATTTAGATATAGGTGTGCCACCACTTATGGAATATATCACATTTACCTGGCGTTGGTTACGGTTACCCCTTGGAGGGTGAAGAAGGAATTGACCAATTTTTCCTTCACATGCCAAAGCTTTAATATGATCACGAATGGTGATACACTTCTCGCCGTCATGGCCGTTATGCTCGTGGTAGCAGCAAAACATGCCTGTGTTCTTCGTGGGCTTGTAATTCGGGTGCCTCGGCTTTGACTTCGGTATCAAGTGTGCTATGCTGGGGTAAATGGCCACTCATGTGGCGTTCAAAGGTGTGTATGCCTCATACCTCGGGGTAGGGGCTGTCCTGACATGTGCTTGACCCACTATGTTGACTGCCTAGGGTCGGGGATTGTCATGGCGATACCCTTGGTTATCACGGTAGTGTCCCTTACTCCTTTTACTAAAATGAGACTGGTGAGGATGGAAATCTTTCTTTTTGCCCTGAGATTGATATGTCTGTTGATTTGGCAAAGTATTAAGTAAGGCAGGGGGAGGCACCGCTGCCGTTTGGAAGGTCGAGGTCTTCTCATTTCGTTGGATCTAGCTTCCACTCCCTACTTGCTGATAAGGGGTGGCTATGAGGGGTTTCCCTTGATATGTCATTGCCTCGGCGGAGGCATGGCTGTTAGCCTATGCCATCACCTCAGAGTAAGTCTTCCAAGTGTTGGCATTGATTATGTACTTGAAGAAACAGTCACGTAAGCCTGCCGTGAAGGCTTTGAGGGCAGTCTTGTCGTCTGCCTCGACAGAACGGAATACTCATGGCTGAAGCGGCCAGCATACATACGTAATGACTCGTCTGGCTTCTAGCGAATAGTGTACAAGTCGTCCGTAGAGTGCAAGCGATCGGTCTGGAACATGTGTTGAGAAACAAACAGTTTCCTCAATTCCTCAAATGAGTCTACCGTCTCAGGTGGAAGACGGCAATACCAGTTTAGAGCTCCACCAGAGAGGGTAGAGGGGAAGAGAAGACATCACTCTTCGTTGGTATGCATCCGGTATGCTATGGTAGACTCAAAAAGGTTAAGGTGTTCAATCGGGTCCTCATTTCTAGTATAGAGTTGCAAGCAAAGCTTCTGCTTTGTCTTTGCTTAGAGGAGGGTGTCGAAGATCCTACTTGTAAGAGGGCCAGGCCTAGGTTGGTTCCAATCAGGTATCTCAGCTTGTCGTTCGGCCTTCAACTTGTTTACTTCCTTAAGAAGTTGTAGGACAAGAGGGTCCTGAGTGGAGTCATGTACCACTTGAGCTTTCTTTCGTAAATCTCCATCTCCTCTTGGAAGTATGAAGGTTTGATCAAGAGCATGTGATTTTTCCCTGGATTCCCCATACTGACTTCCAAGGTATGTTTGTCGGAACATCTCTGAGTCCCTTATACCTTCTTGTTTCTTTAGGACTTGCTGCCCCTTCCCCAAATTGGTAGCCGGCCTGGAACATGGGAGGGGACCGAGTCTTTTAGAGACCCTTAGGTCATTGATCTTCGAGCTTACATGGATGAAATTGTCTCGACGTTGCTTTAGGAAATCTTGACAGTCGCGAAAGACGGCTTTCGATCCTTCCACTCCTTCTGTAAGGAGGTGTCTTTCTCCACTTCTCCTATTTCGGGTCGAAGCAGCTGGGTTGAGAGAAGTCTCATGTTGATCAATGTTTTGATGATTAGCTCGTTCCTCATCAGGGATACCCATGTCGAATGAAGGCGACCCCCCGTGTTAGGGGGCACCCAGATGATGATTGATGTCCACATGGGTAACGAGCTCGCGTGTTTGAGTACACCTAGTTTCGTGGAGCGTCTCAAAGAGCTTCTCATATTGCTCCTGGAGGACCTCATTCTTCATTGCTATCTTGTTATTCTGAGCTTCTAGCTCATCGACTTTAGCTTGAAGAGTAACCCTCTTTCCTTCCTTCTTTTGTCCTCGCACCAAGTGCAAGAAGGGTGTCATTCTGCGTGTTGTGGCTTCCTTCGCTCCCCATGTTAGAGAGGGATGCCTAGTCAAAAAAGAATGTACAAATGGTGGAAACCAGCTTAACAAAGCTGAAGATAGTGGGAATAAGTGTCGTTCCCACAGATGGCGCTAAATGTTGATGCACAAAATCAGTGAGGACTTTGGTTCAACAGAAAGTGTTAAGTTTGTAACCTTCGCTAGATTGCTCCGGTCACTAGTGTGGATAAGTAAGTAAAAATGGATAGGGACAGGGAAGCAAACACAAGATGTACGTGGTTCACCCAGATTGGCTACGTCCACGGAGTAGAGGAGTTCTCATTAATTATGAAGGGTTTGCACAAGTACATAGGTTCAAGCTCTCCTTTAGTGAGTACTAGTGAATGATTTAGTACAAATGACATTAGGAAATATTGTGAGAGAATGATCTCTATTTATAGAAGAGAGTTTCTAGTTTCATTCTGACTTTGACACGTGTCGTGTTGTGATTGGCTTCTGATATTGACATGTGTCGCGCTATGATTGGCTTCTGATGTCGACACGTGTCGCGTTGTGATTGGCCTCCTAGTTAAAGGGAAACTCTTATGGGTCCTTGAAGGTATAACTTTGACCGGTGCTCAGTAATTTCGGAATTGGTTAAGTATGGTACAAACAGGACATATATGTGAATGTGTTCCAATTTGTGATTTTTTGTTGTTAGACAGATCTAGGTAGACTCTGACTAGTTAGACATACTAGTCAATTAAGTTTAGTTCTTGCAACTATACTTTCTGTCATTGAAAAACTTGTAACTAGTTAGCTAGCTCATTTAAATAGTCTATTGTGCAAAGTTTAAATTTTTATTAGCAGGATATTCCGCCTAGTACCAATTTGAATTGGTATCAGAGCTTTGCTCTAGTTATACATAGAGTAATCTCTGAGAGTTACTAATATTGAGTAGCATCTCACCATTGATTGTGATCGTGTTACTGGCTCTTATAACTCACCTCCGTTCTTTGTTGGAACGGACTATATGCCGCATAGAGTGAGAAGTTCACCGCCACGCCCTCTTTATTCCATCGTTTCATAAATACATTCTAACATGCTCTAACGATTACACATACAATATGGCAGCTACCCGACAATCACAAGACATAAAACCTTGTACGATGGATGTTATACCCATTATTCCGTAATCTCTGCTATAGCATTTAGTTGCAGAATATAAAGATGACAGACACTGATCAGATTGTAATGATAAAACTGCCCACTGCAAAAACTCTCTCGGGTCGGTGACATAACCAGTCAAAGCTGACGCAGCAGCCGTATAGGGGGAAGCGAGGTATATCTGGTCTTCCTTGTGACCCATTCGGCCTGGGAAGTTCCTGTTTGTTGTTGAGACGCATACCTGCAAAGACAAAATGGTTAATAATCTACCAGTATTTATTGTCAATACAATTGAAACTAAAACCAAGATTTCTCCTTGCAACAAGGTTATCTGCAAATTGGTTATGAACCCCCAATGGCAGGGAAGTCAGTCCCAATTCTATCGAAGACGACAGAGTGAGATGCAACAATGCGTGACGTCCAGCTGCCCCAAGACAGGAGAGCACATTAGATCCTTATGAATGTGTTGCAGAAAGGATGCACTCGCCTGAGGTTCATTTAAGCGTGCATGCCTGTCTTTCGGACCACCCATGCAAGCACCGCAATTGGGACTTGCAGGTGTGTCACATCCAGCTTCCTCAAATATATGGGAGCAAGTCTTGCCACAAGACCCTGGAACTGGAAGACTATACACGTCCATCCAAACCTGCAGATTTCAGAATATACAATAAACAAGATTTCATTTATCGTGCCTTTCATAAAATTTCTTGATAAATTTATATATACGGATGTTGTCACCGAAGTACTTAATTCTGTAGCTTGACAAACCTTTTGGGTAGCAGGCACAAGATATGTGGGAACTTTGACCTTTTTCCCCTGCAGCAAAGGAATTAAATCTTTAAGATTAAACCAAGAAAAGAGAATTTCCAAAAAAACATTCAGATGTCGATTGAAGTCAGCATTATAGCATATGCATATTATAAAAGGGAATATAAATGAATAAAAGAAGGGAATAAAAGAATATGCATATTATAAAAGGGCAAATGAATTCCAAAAGGCACAAGAAATGTGGGAACTTTGACCTTTCTCATTAATACAAATGAATTCCAAAAGGCCAAATCTCACGCATCTTAAGTAAGTCAACAGAAGGAATAAAAGAATATGCATATTATAAAAGGGAATATAAAAGAAATGCGTATTCGAATCCTAAATATGCTTAACATCCAATTCTCTTACCTCTGTTGTAGATTTACAAATGATGATAAGGTAGTTCGTGACAACCTAAACTAACTACATAAGATGATGACCACATAGTACATTAAATGTGACAGTTATACTTGTATATTTTAAAAAAGATGAATATAGAATGATGTCTCATCTACTAACATAACATTGTCAAAATTCAAATGCACCATCAATGCTTCAAAAGTCCCTCAAAACCAAGGAAGAAAATATCGGTAATATCGGAAATATCGGTAGTCCGAAAACACCGAAATATCGATGGAAATATCGGGATAATATCGATATCGATAAAAATTACATGGAAACCACGGAAATTGTAAGAAAAACTTGGAAATTTTTATTGAAACTTTGCAGGATGTTTATTTAGTCAATTATCTATTAGTTTATCACAAAAAATTGGAAGGAAATGCATTGCATAATGGATTTAACATTATCAAGTTGATTATATAGCGAGCTGATAAACATTTTGAGTGTAGAAAATCTGTAGTAATTAATGAAAGAAGTCTAAACACACCATAATAATATATATATAATGAATTAGTACAATATTTTACACTTTATACATTGCATTTTGGTTCTTCTCTGACAGAATTTGGTCTTCACGTGGAGAAGAAGATAAAGTAAGCAGATATTTTTGTTCTTCTCTGACAGAATATTTGGTTCTTCTGAGCAAAGTCACTTCCAATTATCACACACATAACCATACACACACACACACACAAAACCATGGTTTCATACAAAACCGTGTGCCACACACACACACACACACACACACACACAATCTCTCGATCCTTCTCCCTCATTCCACACACACACGCACACACACCCTCCCTGTCCTTGTTTCTTCTCCAGTTCTCCCCCCTCCCCCCAATCTCTTTTCTGCATATCTCCTTCCCAGAGGAGACAGACACACACACACCCCACTTCCCCGTGTTTCCCCCTTCCCCAATCCCTCGAACCTTCTCCCTCATTCCTCCTTGTTTCTTCTCCCCCCATTTTTGCAACTCTCCTTCCCGGAGCACAGCCACACCACACCCACACGAGGCGGAGGATCCATCAAACCCGAGCGGGTTTTGGGATCTGGAGAGAAGCGGAGGCAGCGGACACCGGACGATGGACCGGAACTCATCGTAGTCGTCGGTGAGGAGGACGACGTTGTCCCAGCCGTCTTGGATTCGTGAGGAAGACGACGTTCCCAGGCTCCTACTTCTCTTCTTCTCGGCATGTAATTTCATTTTTGTACAGAATTCGAATTTTCTGCATGTAATTTCATTTTAGTACTTAATTCGAATTTAGGGATTTAGGGATTCAGTTAATTTGCTTTGAATTCGAATTTGGGGATTTAGGGATTCGGTTAATTTGCTCCGGTGTTCTTCTCCGATTAGCATAGTGCCAAAATATCCCGATAGTTTCGAAAATATCGCGATATTTTGACGAAAACCATTTGGATAGTTAAAAAAATATCGGACCCTCAAAAAAACGATAATATCGGCGATATTATCGATATTTTCTTCCTTGCTCAAAACCATAGGAAATACTATTTTAAATATATGACATAAAAACGTTATTAAATCTAAAAGGAACATAAGATTCTAGAGTGCATGTCCACGTTGAAAGCAAAATACATGCTTCAGAGTTCAAACGTTATAAACTGGATCATGAAATGGTCTAATAAAATGTGGATAATCAGTAGCATACCTTGCTTTAGCATCACTGTAAACAGGTTCATAGGGAACAGACGTCTTATCCTGCGGTTCAACATTAAACATCATATAGCCTGTGCTACACAACACAAATGTATGTGACATTCAAAAAGAACAAATTTGTGACAGCCACCCACTAAAAAAAAAAGAAAAAAAAATTAAATAAACGTAACTGTACCAAGAAAATGTTGTGCTCCCAACTCTATTTTACTGACTCTAAAGGAGGAGGGGAAAGAGAGGGAGAGAGAGCCATCGTAACATTTGAAGATTTGTAGCACTAACCTCAAGGTAATTAAATGTAGTGCTATCAGCAGGAACAATACCATTTTTACCTCCAGCCTCAATAACCATGTTGCATAATGTCATTCATTCTTCCATCTGTCCAGCACAGGTTTGTGAAAGAGTAATTAACAGATACAACAAGATGAATGGTATGATCATACATGCAGTAAAATTCACTTACAGATAAGCTTTCAACAGTGCTGCCAACAAACTCCATAGCTTTATATGTTCCACCAGCAACAGATATTTCACCAGTAATCTGCCAGATGAAATTCATTTATCAAGGAAACAACAAGGCTGGATGTGTTATATATCAAGCAAATAAAATCATATGATCTGTCAAGCTCTTATAATTTTAACTTCTTTGTATGCTATGCAGACTGAGTGAAAAAAAAATGCCTTGAGAACAGTTAAACTTACTTACAGAATCAAATCTTTGTCAAGCAAATAGTCGGGCATTTCACCATCCATCACAAATATCAATGTTGGTGGCACCTGCAATTTTAGAAGGAAATCAGAAAAGTATGAAAATACAATAAAATTCACAGAAATTACTGCAAACAATTATAACATTAAAGTACGACATAAAGCAGTACTGCAGAAATTGTGAATCAACAGATACAACGACCTCGATCACTCATAGCTCATACTGGAAAGAGAAACACATTTAGCTTATCAAAAAGCATAATTCTCCCTTTTCGGTTCACTACATGGAGTACTTTCCTGTTTTCTGAGTTTTTACAATGTCCAATGATTTGTTTTGAGACATTCAGACCTCAGATTGAGAGGCTGCAACATGTACCCTTCTTGATATTGCCTTCATGATCCCAATGAACAATATCAAATAATACAGTAAAGTTTAATGCCTTTTATAAAGTCTAACCCGTAGCTTCAAAAATCAAAGGGAAACCAAATGAAAACCCCACTTCCTAATATTAGAACATAATATAAGATGAAAACATCTCAACTTGGGCATGCAGACGTGGTACTTGTGCTTAATAAAACTTGAGTGTCACATGCAAATGGTACTAGAGCCAGTTGTTTCATATGGCATGTATCTAAACACCTCACACAACACTTGCTTCCAGGACATATACAACAATCTAAAACTGTATAAATCAATCTACATCAACCATTTACTAAAATCCTTTCATGTGCACAATACCAAATTTTCACGAACTCATCATGCCTGCCAGTGCACTTTCGAAAACCATCACCACCTTCGTGATCACACTTAAACAAGAGTAACGAAGGCAGAAAAGTACTGCAACAAGCATTTAAATCGTATTGGTTGTCACTACCTACTATTCAAAGCCATTTCATATTGTTTTCCCATCACTTATTGCAACATAAATACTACTATTTTCTACAACTAAATACATAGTTCTTGATGTTTGAAGTCGAATACTCTGCCAAAAATCAATGATTCCATCAGTCTGTAGATATAACATTTCTGATGGAAGATCATGATACCAATGACAATGGTTCATTAACCCTTCATTTATTACAAAGAAGTTAGAAACTAATTATTACCATCACAATTTAGATAAAACAAAAGAAAAGGTAAGAAACAACTCCAAAACCATTGAAGCACTACGGTGTTACAATGGCTCAAATTTTTTATGTGTAAAGCACAGTATGAAAGCTAAACAGGGTGAAAGGGGCCAATATTCACCAATATTATATTAGTGGAAGCTAAACTATCTGTGGAATTAAACCATTCGCGTGAACTCCGCCAGAGAGTGACAATTATATGTGATCAGAAAAGCAGAAATGAAACATATTTAAAATCTAAAAAACCTTGAGCAGAAGATTCCCAGTGCCTACTACAAATCCTGCATCAGATTTCCCGATTCCAGTAGCAAATTGTCCAAAAGCTCCAGCAGTACATGTATGAGAATCTGTACCCAGCAGAACCTGAAGACCAAATCAGGTGTTTGGTTGCTGCTTTGGACTGAAAAAACCATAAAATAATATTGAACTCTTCAAATGAACGTACCTCCCCTGGCCTGCAATGACCTTCTTGAGCAAGAGCAACATGGCATACGCCCTTATAACCTGGGTTGGCCTGGCAAATTGCCAACTAAACTCAATATCTGATGATTAAAACAATTAAAACATGGTGAAAACATATCACTTAAAAGCCACACCTTGAAATTACTTAGATCCTTGATATCATAGAAATACTTGATGTTTTGCTCCGTGCACAAATACCTCAAGATATCCACACTACGGTTTGCACGTTCATCAGTTGTAAATATATAATGGTCAGGTATGATTACAACCTTTTCGTGGTTCCAAACCTGCAATAGAAAAACAATGAAGCACTATTTTACCCCATGACAACAAAAACTGCAGTGATTACAAAATCTCAGATATGAAAAATAGACCTTTTCTGTTAAAGTTGATTTGTTTGTGGTGTTTTTGGTTATAATTTTGGATCGGTTTCTTGGGGTAGAATGGCAAAGAATTGAGAGGATATTGGAGTGTTGCTTTCAACTTCAAGGTTGTGCTAAAAAAATGCAGCAACCATACTTCATTAAGTAGGGAAAATGTGTAAGAGTATGGTACATTTCCATCACTCATACTTGTGTAAAAGAGTTGGTGAAAAGACACTATTTAAAACACTAAATCACCTTACTACTCCAGATTAAATCCTAGCCCTTCATTGGGATTTAAGTAATTTAATCTGGAGTGTACATTTGTCATTCACACATTTAAACAAAACTAGCCGGTTTGAGGCCAACCCTTCATTTCTTATTCTTCCTTTTTCGATGCAGACAACACCCTTTGCTCAAGAGCTCCTTGCTGCCTTCAACCCCTCGACTCCAGGAGCTGGTTAGCTTCCAACACTCCCTTCTAAACTGCTTCTAGGAGTCATTCCGAGCAAACCACTCAGGTAACTGAATCTCTTCTTTGGTAGTGCTGTTGTGAATATGTCTGCGATCTGATCTTCTGTGCTGCAATAAATTAGTTTGATTGTGTTGTCCTACAATGCCTCTCTGATGAAATGATATCTTCTTTTGATGTGCTTTGTTCTTTGATGAAAAACTGGGTTTTTGGTCATGGCAATTGCAGAGGTGTTGTCACACAGCAGTGTGTGGCATCAACCTGTAATTCTCCAAAATCCTTGAGTATAAACCTTAGCCAAATAGCTTGAGCCGTTGCTTCTGATGCACTCACGTACTCAGCCTCGGCTGGGGACAGTGCAACACTTTGTTGCTTCACAGAGGCTCACGAAAATAACCCTGAACCAAAGGTGAAAGCGTAGCCCGATGTGCTTTTGCTATCATCTTCACTGCCACCCCAGTCACTGTCACAAAATCCAATTAGAATAGTTGACTTCCCCATTTCATACTTGATCCCATAATCTAGTGTTCCTTACACATATCTCAGCACTCTCTTAGCTGTGCCCATATGTATCTTGCTAGGATTCTGCATAAACCTAGAAAGTAGGCTTGCTGAGAACATTAGATCCGGCCTTGTTGCAGTTAGATACAATAGACTGCCAACAATGCTTTTATAGAGACTAGCATCTGCAGGTTCACTTCCATCCTCCTTCTTAAGCTTCTCATTTGCAATTAGGGGTGTAGAGACCGGTTTGCAACCCTTCAAACCAAACCTCTCAAGCAAAGTTTCATCATACTTCTTTTGATGAATAAAGATGCTACTTGCTTCTTGAATTTCCCCAATGCCAAAAAAATGATGCAAGAGGCCTAGATCAGTCATTTCATACCTCTTCATCATCTCTTCCTTGAACTCTTCAATCATTGCAACATCATTTCCAGTGTAAACAACATCATCCACATAGATTGAGACAATGAGTGTCTTGTTGCTTTCTGTCTTGGTGTAGAGTGTAGCTTCACTAGGACTTTTCTGAAATGCTTTCTCAGTGAAATAGGAATCAATCTCACTGTACCAAGCTCTTGGAGCTTGTTTTAGGCCATAGAGAGCCTTCCTTAGCTTGTACACATTCTCTGGAAACTCTTGATTTGTGAACCCTTGAGGTTGTTCTACAAACACCTCATCCTCTAGCACTCCATTTAGAAATGCAGATTTGACATCCAATTGATGTAACTTCCAACCCTTCTTGGCTGCTAGGGCTATCAAGGTCCTTATGGTGTCTAACCTTGCTACTAGAGCAGAGGTTTCATTGAAGTCTACACCTGGTTTCTGTGAGTAACCTTTGGCCACTAACCTGGCCTTGTTCTTTTGCACAAAACCATCTAAGTTGAGCTTCGTTTTGTACACCCATTTCACTCCAATCACAGGCTTGTCACTTGGTCGATTTACAAGTTCCCAAGTGTCATTCTTCTCTATCATTTCAAGCTCTTCATTCATTGCTTTCTTCCAAGCTTTGTCTTTCCCAGCTTCTTCATATGTTTCTGGTTCTACTACACAGTAATTACATGTAGCATAAATCTCATCCAGGTTTTTCAATCTCACTGAAGTTGAACTTGGAGTTGTTATCTGTGATTGACTTGATTGTGGACTCATAGTAACTTGCTGTGAAGTCCTTTGTATGTCACCATTATCTGTGACTTCTTCTTGAACTGAGGTCTCCATAGGCTCCCTTGTTTGCCTTTTGTTTAGGTCAAGTTGTAGAGAGACATTATCCTTTTCCTCTACCTTTGTTTCCCAGTTCCACATTGAGTCTTCATCAAAGATAACATCTCTTGATAGGATTATCTTTTGAGTCAACACATTATAAACTCTGTACCCTTTCTCACTGGTACCATAGCCTACAAAAACACCTTTGTTACTTGATTTCTCCAACTTGTGCCTTAGTTGGTGAGGGATGAAAGTGTAGCACACTGAGCCAAATACTCTCAGATGCTTCACAGAAGGCTTCCTTCCACTGAACACTTCGAATGGTGTCTTCTCGTCCAGTGCTTTAGTAAGGCACCTATTCAATAGATACACTGAGGTGTTCACAGCTTCACCCCATAATGTATAAGGCATGTTCTTCTCATGCATCATAGACTTAGCCATTTCAACTATAGTCCTATTCTTCCTTTCTGCAATCTCATTCTGTTGTGGTGAATATGCCACAGTGAGTTGCTTCTCTAACCCCACATCTTCACAGAATGCATTGAACTCACATGAGGTGTACTCACCTCCCCTATCACTTCTCAGTCTTTTGATTTGGTATCCACTTTGCAATTCCACTATTGCCTTGAACTTCTTGAATATTGTGAATACCTCAGACTTGAACCTCATGAAATACACCCAACACATTCGTGAGTAGTCATCAATGAAGGTTAGGAAATACCTGTTTCCACTGATTTTTGTTGTTTTCATTGGTCCACACACATCTGTGTGAATCAATTCGAGTGGCTTTGTTGCCCTCTAAGCCTTGCCAACTTTGAATGGATCCCTGTGATACTTCCCAAATGCACATCCTTCACATGTTTCATTGCAGTGATCCATCTTAGGTATCCCTTGTACCATTTCATACTTTTGTAGATTTTCTAGGCTTGTCATGTTTAAGTGACCAAACCTCTTATGCCATAGTTCTATAGAACCTGTCACACTTGCTTTCCTTGTCACTTCTTCTAAGTACTTCAACACAAGTGGAAAACTTCTGTTTATCACTTCTACTTTGGTCACCAAATTTGATAAGAATCTGTCATCATAGATCTCAACCACAGTTCCCCCAAAAAGTAGGAAATACCTATGCTTCATCATTTGACCCACACTAAGTAGGTTTTCATCCAATCCTAGCACTAGCATCACCTCCCTTATGCATCTTCTTCATTTCTTGGTGTTGATAACCAGAGTTCCTCTTCCAGTGGCCTTGATAATGTTTCCATCTCCCATTTTCACTTTTCCAGTGAAGTTTGTGTCAATGTCAATGAGTAATGACTCATGTGCAATCATGTGGTTACTGCAGCCACTATCAATCTACCACACTTCATTGTTTTTCTCCACTTTTGCACTGAAGGCACAGAACACATTTGCTTCTTCCTGCACTTGGTTTGCACAGTTCACTTGCTGCACATTCTTTGATCTGCAGTCCTTCATAATATGCCCAAACCTGTTACATTTGTGGCACCTAGGCTTGTCTTTGAACCAACACTCTCCAAGATGAAATTTGTCACAATGTTTGCATTGTTGTTTGGTTCTTGGACTTGCATTAATGTTGCTGCCTTGGTTAGGTCTAGAGTTGGGAAACCCTTTTCCTTCCCATTTCTTATTCTTGCTCTTCCACTGTGGTTTCTGATTGCTTGCACTAGCTTGATTACCAGATCCAACATTGAGCGATTGAAAGGCTTTCTCAGGTGTAAAATCAGCATGCCTCTCGAGTCTTTGATCAAAAGCTCTTAAGGATGCCATCACATCTTGCACACTGAGAGTTTTAGTGTCTTTGGTTTCTTCTATAACACTCACTATTGAATCATAGGGTTTAGTCAAACTAATCAACAGTTTTTGAACAATTCTTTCATTAGGCAGTTCCTCACCATATGTTTTCATCTTGTTTACAACATCAAACAACCTAGTGAAATAGTCTTTTAACAGCTCATTTTCCTTCATTTTTGTATACTCGAAATCTCTTCTAAGGGACTGAAGTTTTACCTTTCTAACTTTAGTGTCTCCTCTGTACTCTTGCTGTAAAACTTCCCAAGCTCCCTTTGAAGTCTCTTCATTTGCTATCCTCGGGAAAATGGTGTCTGAGACAGCACCTTGAATAATTCCAAGTGCTCTAACATCCTCCATTAGATTCTGCTTCAGTGTTTTGAGCATAGGATTTGAGGCCAAGTGCTCTAGAGCATCGATCTCCATCTCAGGTAGTTCATACCCGTGTTGAACCATATCACATAGATCATAGGATTTGAAAATGGTTGTCATTCTTATTCTCCAAAAATCATAATTCTCCCCATCAAAGACTGGAGCTTTTAGCTCACTGCTACTGCTGGATCCCTTCATTTTCAGAATTGTTTGTTGGTTGTTGTTGTTGAGGACACTTCGTTGGTGCTCCCAAAAGTCTTAACTTTCACAGATTATGCCAAGAAATATTTTTTATCAGTAACTGAGCTCTAAGGCCATGTTAAAGTTGATTTGTTTGTGGTGTTTTTGGTTATAATTTTGGATCGGTTTCTTGGGGTAGAATGGCAGAGAATTGAGAGGATATTGGAGTGTTGTTTTCAACTTCAAGGTTGTGCTAAAAAAATGCAGCAACCATACATAATTAAGTAGGGAAAATGTGTAAGAATATGGTACATTTCCATTACCCATACTTGTGTAAAAGAGTTGGTGAAAGGACACTATTTAAAACACTAAATCACCTTACTACTCCAGATTAAATCCTAGCCCTTCATTGGGATTTAAGTGATCTAATCTGGAGTGTACATTTATCATTCACACATTTAAACGAAACTAGCCGGTTTGAGGCCAACCCTTCATTTCTTCTTCTTCCTTCTTCGATGCAGACAACACCCTTTGCTCAGGAGCTCCTTGCTGCCTTCGACCCCTCGACTCCAGGAGCTGGTTAGCTTCCAACATTTTCAATAATAATGAACACATACAGAGATGATGAATGGTGAGCTAAAAAATAAAAATATGTCAATAAGCAATGAGTTAAATGCAAATGAATTGCTTCTTTCTTTTATTTCTGTGACTAGTTATGGTTATTCACTAAGAAAGTAGTAAGAGAGGACCTGTAAGTTGATATGTTTTATTGGCAGCAGAAACGGGCATGTGGACTATGGCAACAAAAAACAAAGACAACGTACTCATTTCTGCCATCCACCGTAGGGTTCGGTCAAGCTTCGCTATGATGCTGATGTTCCTCGACTCTTGCAGTGATGTGCAGAAACCATTTGGAACACATTCATGCAGAATGTTTCTTGCGGAGCTGGCTAACCCAACACATAGAAGTAGATTCTCTAATGTGATCATTACCATTGCCAGAAGAGTCAACAACTTGATTAATGAACTTATGACTTCTGACTAAATATTTATACCAACCTCTTTTCCTTTTTGGTTTGTAAAGCATGTCTAGATCAGCAAACTAAGCTATTCAAACCCACAGATATGGCTTCCGATGGTACTGCTAGTTTTTTGGGTGTTTAATACAGTAATGCATTTAGAAAAACAAAAAAAAGAAAAGGAAGTACCTTTGCGTTCTGGCCGAACTCTTTCTTGAAGATTCCAAATGAACCGGGGCCGCAGACGTCATGGGTCATCAAAACGTCGACATCAACCCAAACATTCTCACCCGGACTCAGCTGGGTTCTCTCAGAAGCTCGAGCAAATATCTTCTCAGTCATCGTCATCCCCTTCTTAACCTGAAAATTAACCAAAAAACCCGCCAAATGGAGATTCTCATCAATCCTAATCGTACAAAACAATGAAAAAAAAAGTTCATCCTAACCGAGCCGGTGGTGGCGGGCTTGTGCTCCGATTGCTGCGGAGCCATGACGGAGCAAATTTTCTTGGATTTTCTCTTGCATTTCTGACTGGAAATCGGCTTTGCGAAGGAGAAAGCAGAGAGATTCAGATCCTTCTGAGGTTGAAATCAAATTCAGCAATGGTTTAGTGAAAACCCAACAACAAAAATTGGAGGAAAAAAAAAAAGTTGGAGCCAAAAAACAAAGGGGACCTTGTTGCTTTTGAGTTATGAAGGAGGTGGACGGCGGAGCAGCGGTGGAGCAAGCCATGGGTGTCAGAATGCAAGTTTATGCGGCGTAACTCTGATGTCTCTGCAGAAGAAGAAGAAAGCGACGAAGAAGTGGAAGAGTTGTGTTTTGGTTTTGCTACTTTGTGGGAAGCGGCGGCTGAGTGGCGTGTGTTTTGGAGTGGCTGTGACTGTGAGGCAGAAATGACATGTGGACGTGTGTAGTTGGTGTTGCTTTATTTTATGTTGTCCGGAGCGGGAGCTCGATCATCTGCGACAATGCAGCAGGCGACCAAACTTACGTAGCAGCAAAATAACATGCGTTTCCTGCAACTTATTACATTTTAAATTTAAAACATAGATTAGTGTACAGTATTATTTGGCAACGGTTATTAACATTTCAAAAATCTCATTTTACACTCTTCACAAGTATAATTTTTTTACTAATTATAAAAAGTTTGAAGTGTAAAATGAGATTTTTTTAGTGCAAGGATAATTTTCTATTATTTATTAAAAAAATGAAAAGCACAATTTGTACCTTAAATATAAGAATGATGATAAAAGTTGACCTGATAACTATAATCATGTTATAATTAAAATGTAAAAATATAAATAAATAATGTGATTGTTGTATCAACTCACATGTTGCTTCAACCATTCTGAAAAATCTTTCTTGCTTAGCTCCTGAATTTGTCGAATAGTTAACATTTCTTGACGATGTTTCATTTTCAAGAATTCCTCATGTTGCCTGGGCATTTATGTCCAAATTTAGATAATTAATTTTTCAAAGTTAAGAAAACCAATAAAACATTAAGACGTAAGATTAAACGTTCTTACCTTTTAAATGGGTTAACTTCATTACAATTATTTAGAATGTAGTTATGGCACTGATCAAGAACATTTAGATCGAGCTCCACATTTTCTCCTGAACCCATATAACATCTTTTGGAGTCAAAAATTGATAACCCACCAGACACTCCACGTCCAATACCATCTTCATTTCGGCCTCTACGGGTGCGACGATACTCTACATCTCTAAGATACATGGAACAGAAGGATAAGCACTCATCCACCAAATATGCTTCAACAATAAAACCTTCAGGACGACCCTTATTACGAACATAGCACTTCAACGTTTGCAAATACCTACAATTATAAATGAAACACAAATTATTATAATTATAAATTAAAGCTATGACTACAATTGTAAAAAATTTATAAAAATTTATTAACTACCGTTCAATTGGATACATCGATCTATATTGAACAGGCCCTGCAAAAGCTGTTTCATCTGCCAAGTGAACTGGAAGGTGCACCATTATATCAAAAAATGCAGGAAGGAATATTTTTTTCAAGTTGACATAATGTCAAGGCAATTCTTGAATTCAGTTGCTTGAATCTTTCCTCAGACTCCTTCTTACTACACAACCGTCTGAAAATTACACTCAACTCTAATAATACCATAGTAACAGCTTTAGGCAAAACCGTGCGTATTGCAAGCGGGAGTAACTGCTGCATTAAAACATGGAAATTGTGACTTTTCAACCCATGTATTTTTCGTTCATTCACGTGCACACATCGCGATAAATTTGAAGAATATCCATCGGGGACCCGAATGGTAGACAACACTTTGCAAAACGCAGTTTTTTCTTCTCTTTTCAACATGAACAATGCTGAAGGTAGAAATGTTCTATTTCCTTCTCTACATGGGTGTTGAATACGTCTTATGTTCAAGACTTCAAGATCTACACGTGCAGCTAATCCATCTTTAGACTTTTCTATATCTAGCAATGTTCCTACCACACTGTCACATATATTCTTCTCAATATGCTTAACATCAAGATTGTGTCTAATCAACAGAGGCCTCCAATAAGGTAGTTCATAAAAATAGATTTCTTCTTCTACTGACTGTTACTACTTGTACTGCCCGAAGTTCTTTTTCTGCGTTGCCCAACAGAAGCATCTTTGTTTGGTTTTCCAAAAGTAAATCTCAATCTAGAAAGTTCTTCGAGACACTATAAACCAGTCCATTGCCTTGGTGCACTACGATGCTCTCGACGATCATTAAAATTTATGGTTTGCCTTCGAAACTTATGATTATCTTCAAGAAAGCGTCGATGCCCCATATAACAAATCTTACGACTCGCCAGCAAATAAATAGATTCTTCATCATGCATGCAATGTGGACAGGCTTTATAGCCATGTGTACTCCATCCTGACAACATTCCATAAGCCGAAAAATCACTTATAATCTATAAGACAGCAGCTTTCATCGTAAAACTTTGGTTGGAATATGCATCATAAGTGGGAGTGCCCACCTCCCACAACTCATTCAACTCGTCAATCAGTGGACACATGTATACATCAATCTCTTTACCAGGACTGTGCGGTCCTGGTATTAATAGAGACAACAACAAATTTGGTTGTTTCATGCACATCCAGGGCGACAAATTGTAAACAGAAAGCACCACAGGCCATGTCTCATTTTCCCAAAAGGATTAAATTCATCACTGGCCAACCCTAATCTGACATTTCAAATTTTTGACACAAAATCCGGATATAAATTACCCAAATGCTTCCATGCTGGAGAATCTAAAAGATGCCTCATAAACTCATCCTTAGGACATTCAGTTGCATGCCACCTCATATGTTCAGCCGTATGCTTCGACATAAAAAATTGTTGCAATCATGGTTTTAAAGGAAAATACTACATAACCTTAGCTGCGATCTTTTTTCTCGAGCTATCCTCTGCGTTGGTAATTTTATATCTTGATTCACCACAAACCGAGCACACGGTCAACTCCGAAGTATCTTTCAAATAGATCATGCAATCATTAGGACATGCATCAATTTTCACATACATCAAACCCAAATCATTTATAAGTTTTTTTGCCTTATAACAGGATTCAGTCAAACAATCTCCTTCAGGCAACATTCTTTTAATTAACTCCAGTAAAGTGGTGAAGATCTCGTATGGCATTCCTGTTAAACACTTGATTTGATACAGTCTTACAACTGCTTCCAATTTCTTAAACTCTTTACATATTGGCCACAAATCTTGATCTATCTCTTCAAGCAACCTAAAAAAAGTCTCCACCTCTTTTGGACGCCTTTCCCCAATAGGGGGTTTAGTAGACGGCCCAACACCTTCTTCTGTTAATGGTTGGACAAATACATCATTAAGAAAATCATGCATACCAGCCACCTCATCTCCTGTTTCTTTTTCTCCGATTGCCACATTTTGCTCTCCAATGTTTTTCTCACCATGATGTCGCCACCAAGCGTTTTTATAATCTTTATCCATATCATA